TTTACAAAACACATCTCCAAAATTCTGAGAAAATTTCCCAGCTAGAGGGTCTTGTGTCTTTCATGTCAAAGGCATTAAGACTCCTCCAGTGTCCCATGCAGCAGTGCCTTGATTACAGTCCCAGATACCCAAAAACAAGGGGAGGGGTGGGATATCATGTGATTCAACACCTCCGACCTATGATCTGTTGCAAAGGTTCTTGTGCGTTGGCTGAAAGAGCTGTCTGTGATCCCAACTTCTAATATCTATAGTGCTTTCAATTATAAGATGTGACAAGTCCTTCTAAAGCCAACAGCTGCACAATTGAGCAAACCTGAGCAGTGAAAACTGCTTCCTTTTGAGACACTGATGACAGACTTGCCTAGCACCTCATATTAATTAGGGGTGGTGTTATTCTAGAACAATTGGCAATCCCTGAAGGATGAGTCACAGCAAATTTGGTAAGATCACAATTTTGTGATGTTTCTATGGGATACCATTTTTTTTTTCAAAATGGTCCATAATGCCCTTAGCTCTCAAATTTCTTTATTTCTATTCCTTAGTTTCTTGTTCGGAGGGGTAGTTCTGGATTCCTGGAGAGTGAAGTAGTGAAGTAGAGTAGAAAGTCTTTGTCTTCTGTGGGGAAGTTGTCAACATGTAGAAGTTCATTGGGCTGACATAAAATAAAGTCATTAGTGAAACCTGAAATATCTGCAAATGCAAAGCTAGATTTATCCTTTACACAACAGTCTCCCACATGTACTGATTTTTAATGATGTAAAAATAATACCATTGTTAATCCAACAGTATTTACAGCCTATAAAGAGTACATTAGTTGTTTCATCTGTTGTTTTTTCAGATAAAATCAACTCTTAGGTAAAATGTCAGCTTTGCAAATACCCTCAACAAAGAAAAGCAGAGAGCTGAAATAACCACCGGGCCAACATGTACCCCCTGCTCACAGCAGGCACGGGGAAGCTTGCATTGTTATGGCAGATAATTGCTCAAGGCCTGAGTATGGGAGAATCTCGTTCCACATGCTGCCATTCAGTATTCCTAAATGAAAAATGCTGGCAAAGTCCTTTTGATAGTTAGGATTTTCTGATTTGTACGAAATACAAGTATGTGTGTAATTTCTTGGTAGATAAATGGTGAAAGGGTAAAAGTTAGTTATACTGGTTTTAGCCCAGTTAGTTATACTAGTTCTTTCTGTTGCAACAAAAGCTTTTTCTGTACTAATGTGAGTAACAAGTTCAAGGGAAAAGCCAGGAGCAGCTTGGGCTGAAATGCCCTTATCTTTTCAAAATTACAGAAACATGATATGCTATATTACATAGGAGAGAGTCACTGTACTCCTAATGAATTTTGCATTTGTTCTCGAGATAAGGGAATGAAATAGAAGAGAAAAAAATCATCTGTCTTGAAAGGAGATATAAAGTATAAACTATTTCTACACACAATCTTATCAGTCCATTTCGTGGCCACTTGACACTCTCAGATGCTGTTAATATATTGTATACCAAAGGCAATACTGCTGACACTGAGTTCTGCCACTGCCAAATTGCATATTCATTATTGTTCATAGTCATGTGAGGTTGAGTTCGGTCATTGCGAACAAAGAACCTTTGTCTGGATCTTTACTCCCTCCTCGCACAGTTTTTGGTTTCCTAACTTTTGTAGCATTCCCTGGGCTGAAAGTTTCTTTTTAAAGAGGATGCTGTGTACTCTTTTGTAAACATGTCTCCATTACTAAAAGTGACATCATGGGAATCGCTGGAAATGAGCTTGGGGAACAGACCCAGGGTTGAGGCAATGTAAAAAGAAGTCCCCTTGTCCCTTCTCCCTCCTCCTCCCCATTGCATTGTCTAGCAAACAGGTACTTTGTTTAACTCTGTTGGAAGCTTCATGAGGAATTTAAACATAGGAAGGACTAAGAAAAAAAGGGTCCTGCCAGCTCTTTCTCATCTGCAGCCTGCTATGCACAAATGTGGTCAGCAGCTTATTCACACAAAGCCAGGGTTCTGCTCATTTGCCATCATATGCAAATTACCTCCCTGGACTCGCTGGCACGGTAAACACTTCGGTTTAAGAAGTTTAAAAAGATGGATTGCAAAACTCAGGCATGCTCCCACTCCTACTGAGATCAGTGGCAAGCCTCCCATTGACTTCAATAGAAGCAGGATAGAGTCTCCCTTTTCTGGAAGCGAAACCCAGCAGTATTTGAGCTTTTTGGAGCACATGCAGCTCTGAAAGTCTGTTCCTTTGAGGCACTCCAAAATTTTTCCCATTTGCTTGATTCCATGGCAACACAACATCACCACCAAGCTTTCAGTACTGAAATGAGATTTTACTACTAAGCCTGAGGATTTATACAACTGTAAAGAGATCTTGCTAAGCTGCAATTCCCATTAGACCAATTCAGGATCCTTTTCAAATGAGTGACAAAATTATCTCTGGATTTATTTTACAATGAGCCAAGAATTTTCTAAGGTTAGAAAAACAAGAAAATTGCTTTGCAGTCATAATGGAAACATTTTTTAATTATTATTACACAGAATCACTATGAGTAAAACACTGTATCTATTTACTGTTCTTTTCAAAACAATCTAGAGAATAGCCTAAGCAGTTTTCTCATGAATTATACCAAAATCAAACTCTAAAGGCTGCATAAAATTATGATAAAGCCACTGAGGCTTTTCTTCTGATTTTTGTATTGCTTATATCACAGCAATAAGTGGTTTGCAACCAGAAGAAATATACTAGTGTAAGAATGTTCAAGGACATGCCAAAAGCTCCATATTAGATTCTGAATGTACTACAGTTAATTTTATAGTTAATTTAACAGACAAGCTTGTTTTACACTCAGTGGATGAGAGTTTGCTGTGAGTTACACTATAGCACATTGAAACCTAGTGCACTTGTTGATACCCTATTTTTATGTGTGAAGGGGAAAAAAAAAATCCAAATTATTCCATACCTAGAGAAGTGTGTAAGCAGTCTTAAAGGGACTATTATTTGTGTGTAAGCAGTCTTGAGGGACTTTTATAAAAATTATCTACTAAGAAGTTCACAAATAACAATACAAATTCAGTGGAACAATTAAATTATTAGACAGCATTAGTAAGAATTTTCACTGTCTTATGTTTCCTGCATTTGCTTAGTCTCTGGATATAACTGCTCATTACCATCTGTTATAATCAGTTTTCATGTAATCCAGCTGTTGAATCATCCCCTCCAATGTGATTTCTGACATGATTCAGGCTCTGACTTCCCCTGTTGCACTCAGACAGACCCATGCTGGAAGCAATGATCAGGATGTGGGCTGCAGTGTTATACTTTGACTACTTCTTTGATCTGCTCCTTATGCCGAGAGAGTTACAGGAATACATGATGTAACACTTGATCTCACTTTTCTGAGTGGAGTTCAGAGCTTCCCCTTCTGATGCTTGCAAGAGGCTTGACACCTAGATCAAACACCATGCAATCCTGAGCATGGGATGTGGCCCTGCTCTGGGTCACAGAATCGGAGACAGGCCTTTCCTTCTCTGGCCTCCACTGGGGCAATGAGATGGTCATTGTGCAAGCAAAGCTGGGATGAGGATGTAATAACAGAGATCACAGATCTGACAGTAGCACGGTGACTCTGTCAGTGAAACTCTTATGAATTATTTCTTTTTCACACAGACTCCTGGCTTGGCTCTGATTAGTGAAGCAGCTACAAATCCTCTTAGCTGAAGCAGACCCAGTTGAAAGCAAAATCTGCCCCCTCTTTCCCAGTTGACCTTCAACAAATCACTTCCAAGAAAAAGTTGATATCAAGTCAAAAGCTTTGTTATAAAGCTGGACAGTTATGACACCTTGTATTTCAAAGTGGCCAGAGATTCTGGCTATGTTCCTTCTCAAGATCAAAACTTCTACGTGGGTGTTTGGTACACTTTCACCACCTCTCCTTCAACAGAACTGAAAGAACCACTAATCAAATTTGAAATTCTTGGCCCAGATTATGAGAAAACTGGATGAAAACTTTAGTACGTGAATGTGTTCTAAGAAGTACCATTAGAAATTGTCCGTCCTTTATACAAACTGTAATGCCTTAGAAAACAGTGCTTTGCAATACACAAACACTGCACTGCTTATTACACAGAAATGCAAACTTTATGTGAGTTGCACATATTTGTGAGTTTCACTCTCTCACATCTTAAACTATTTTTTATTTGAAAAGTAGGTGTCTTTGCAAGTCTACTTTGCAAAGAGTATCTTTTCTTGCTAAAGGGGGAAAACTCAGACTCAAAATCCCTTCTGAGCCATAAAATGCAGAATGCTCTTTGTAAACTATATGCTCTAATACTCCAGTAGTACTCCCCGAAGGCACTCAGTTGTGGGGAGTGGGGCAACTCATGTGTGCATATAGCAGTTGTTTTTTTGTCTATCACTTCTTATGCATCTTCTTTAACGTGTGAAAGGCATTTGTAATTCTTACTTAACAATTCTCATTTGTGATACATTCAAAATGACATCTAGAAGGAAGACCTTTAGGAGAATATCTCCTTGGGTTATTTAAATTTGTAAGTAGAGTATTTGTATTAGCATAAAACGATGTCTTGTATTTTGCCACTTTATTCCGGTGTTGCACTGCAAACACTCGGACGTTCAAAGAAGTAGTGTAGGCACTGGTTGGTCTGTAACTCAAGCCACAGAGAACCTGTCTTTAAATAGCCCAAGAATGCCAAAGCCAAAGGATACTGTCGCCGATGTTTGGTTAGGTGCAGCAATCTCAATCAACATTTACTTTTGCGCTCAGTAAAAGGCAAACTGGCACTGCCGCAAGGCCGGGGGGGGGGGGGGGGGGGGGGGGGGGGGGGGGGGGGGCAGGTCGATACCTGACCCGAAATTTCTGCAATTGTTCTCCACGGCAACTCTTGGGTCGCCGTAAACCCCATTTAAACACCACTTAAAACACCACCATTTCGCATCGCTTTTCCAGCGATTATTCCCGTTTTAGCGGTTCAGATTCGCGGGCGATGCAGCCGCGAGTCGCCGCTCCGGCCGGGCGCGGGGGCGGTGGTGGCGGCTGTTGGGACGATGCGGCGGCTGCCCCAGAGCCGGGGCGGGCACGCCAGGCACGGGCCCCGCAGCGGGGGTGCGGGGGGGGGCAGAGGCGCCGCGGCGGGGCGGGCGGGCAGCGGCGGGGCCCTGCGGCCGGCGGGGCTCGACAGGGCGCTCAGGAAGTCGCGTCAGGGGCGGGGGGCAGCGGCGGGGCCCGCGGTGCGGGGCTGCGCGGCCGGGAGCGGAGCGGAGCGGAGCGGAGCGGAGCGGGGGCGGCGCTGGGCGGGCGGAGCGGGGCGGTGCTGCCCCCGGCGGCGGGGCGGGGCAGCGCAGCGGCTGCCGCGTGGCGGGAGGGGCGGTGCGGCCCCGGCGGGCGCGGGGGGACGCGGGGCGGAGCGGCGGAGCGGCGGAGCAGGGTGCGGGGGCTGCGGGGGGCAGCGCGGGCAGGGCGCGGGGAGCCCCGGGGTACCCTCCGTGGCCCCCTCCGTGGCCCCCTCCGTGGCCCCCTCCGTGGCCCCCTCCGTGGCCCCCTCCGTGGCCCTGTGCCCGCGGTCGGCGCCCGCCCCCCCCGCGGCGGAGGGGCCGGGGAGGCGCGGGGCGGCCCCTTGGCAGCCGCGGTGCCCGGGGCGCTGCGCACCCGCACCGCGCTCAGCGCCGCGGTTTTATTTATAGCAGGGCTGGAGAGCGGCGGCGCTGGAGCCCGGAGCGCTGTGGAGCCCCGCTGAATCCTGCTGAGCCCGCAGCCCTGCTGGAGCCCTATTGATTCCCCGTGAGCCCTGCCGATCCCTGCTATCCCGGAGCGCTGTGGGTCCCTCGGGATGGCGGTGGCCGGCAGGTGAACAGCGCCAGCGGCGGAGGGGAGCGGGAGCTCGGGGTGCGGGTGTCTCACAGGTATGTGTGCGGGGACCGCTGCTGCTACTGGTGCTCACACGAGCTTTTAATGCCGTATTATTTTTTGAAGTTCACGTTTTGTGTGTGCCGGTGCAGCCAAGGTCACCTTGAGCACGAGGAGGACGCGTTTCCCTTCCACTGTTCGGAGGTTTACCGTTTTTTTTCTTTTTTTTTTGGTGTTTATTGGGGGATTTATATACTAAATTGCTCTGATTACAAAATAAAAGCAAATTGAATGAAAAGAGCTAGCAGAGACAAAAGGATGACTGCATGGCTATATTGGCTCAAACTCCAGTTTGTATTGAGAACTCTGCTTGGGTATCACCAGATGGGCTTGTGGCAGCTTGGACGGGGCACTAAGAAAGGCAAAAACGTTGTATTAAAGTTTTAGGCCTTGCTGTTGCAGATCTTAGCATACAACATACAGCATGGGATCATTCTTTATGGCTCATAGCTTGGCCACGACTGAAGTTTCTTTGCAGTAACAGAAGAGGAAGGTGCTGTCACTTTACAGTTTCTCTCGTTGACAATTCTGGGATTCCTATTTCAGTGGCTCTCCGTAACAGAGCAGTTTAATTTGTAGTGTTTTGCACTTATATTGTACCTCAGTTGTTTTTATATGTTTGCCCTTTCTTTTTTCTTTAGCGAAGGGAAAATGATTTGCTATGCTTGTTATATAAACTATAAAACTTCCATTTCAAAATAATAATGCAAGTTTAGACTTCTTTACTGCTTTTTAATCCCATAAGCCTGTAATGTCACTTATGTCAGCAGCATGTTCAGATTTAGGGGTGTTTTTTTATAGAGCACTCCTGAGGAGGAGGTTGCAAACTGGTTTGACTACATCTGGACCAGACACATAAAATATACTGTGAGATAGAATTGGGAGAGAACATTAATGACATTTTTTGTGGATCATAGGTGTCCTTGAGAAGTAGATAATAAAAGAGTGAGGTCATGGAGTGCAAGAGAATAGTAAAATTTTGAAAGTGGCTGAAATGTGTATCCTTGTGGCTGCATGGTTTAAGCCATGCTGTGAAGAATAGTGGAAAATTATAAAGGGACCATAGTGACCTTTAATGAGAAGAAGAGCAGTGAGAGAGAAGCATGCTGGAAGCTGATCGGTATGCTGTGCTTATGGAACTTGAATGTGCTGGTTTTTTTAGCATATTAAAATTGTGCTGATTTTTAGCTGCAATGAAACTTCTTTAGAACTGAACTTTTATTGAAAGGTGAAAAAATACCAATTTGCTAATTTATTGCTAGATGCCCATCACTGAGATTATGTGTGTGTTTCTGTATACGGGAATGTGTGTGTGTGTATATATATATATATATATATATATATATATATACACATATACATATATATATATATACACACACATAATATATACACACATGTATGTATGTGTGTATATCTATCTATCTATCTATCTATCTATCTATGTTATTATTTTGCAGTTTCTGATCTTCAGTTCCACTCCTGTGTCATGGATGAAACCGCTTTGTCCCTCGGAACAATAGATGTTTCCTATTTGTCCGCCTCAGCAGACTGCAGCATCAGTAGATGTAAGCATTCCAGTGAAGAATGGGTAAGTAAAAATTGTGAATGTTACTGGCCATATTTATTTTATTGTTTCTTCAAGTTGAAGGTGGACATTTTTATTGTTCTGAAGAACAAAGATAAGGCATTTCCTCTCTTGTGCACGATACAGTTTGGTCTTAATTTAACTTGAAATGTAAGGAGGAACCAACAGTTCAGTTCTGTGCCAAAGACTAATGTTGCTAGAGAAGAAATACCCTATCAAACCCTATTGATAGTCTTGCAGTCTTCTGGTCTAATGTTGCTAATCATTTTATGTAGCAGTTAATGTACAGAATCCCATTGTGGAGTAGCTCAAAAGTCAAGCAGAAGTCAAATAGAAAACTTATTGCTCTTCTGCAGGATGTAGTTTAAAACACACAGGCAAAAAGGAGCATGAAGCTGAAGATGCAAAGTTGTGTAGCCACTGAAGCTGGGACTTTTTGTGCAATACAGAAGGCAGAAAAAAATGGTGGATATGAATAAGAAACCTATTAAAAGTCTGTCCTCTGTTGAGTGAGTCTTGGGATTTGGAGGAGACAAAGGGTCAGTGAGCAGATCAGGCTGGGTGGAGCTAAAAGAGCCACATGGGGACTGGGTTGATGCTGGTTGGTTTAGCAGCAAAGGTCAGGAGAACTTAAACATGGATTTGGAGAGGAGGGCTTTGAACTTGATACAGAAGAAGAACTGGAGATGTGTTTAGAGTTGAGGGAAAAGATAGACGTCCTGGCAGCTGGGTTTTCTGTCTATCTAGATCTAAGTGACATCAGACAGCACGCTGCAGTAACCAAGAGATCTGTGGGATAAGGGCAGACAGAACAGAAGAAATAGGAAGCAGCTTTTCTGAGAAAGTAGTGGTGAGTTCAGTAAAGGGTTGGAGGCAAGTAGAAGAAGGACACTATTACAAAGTTGATTTAATTTGGTGTTAGCATTACAGAAAGTGAGAGAGAAAGGGATTATGGCAGGCTTAGGATCTTGATGCTTCTTTATTTCAGATGGAAGATTTACTCTTGGAATATTTCCCAGTTAACTTCAATACTCTTGCCAAGTGTCATATATGCCCAATTAAGTTTTTAGGCATCTGCAACATTGCTTTTGACTTTCTGGTTGTTTCTCACTGGGCTGAGTATATGAGGATGTGTTTGGGTTTTACGGCCCTTATGCTGGTTTATGGTATTGGTTCTACCCTGCTTCTCTTCCATGTAAATGTGCTATTTAAAACATCTTTTTGGTTTTGTTCTGGTTTGTTTCTGTAACTTCCCTTGTAGTACTGAAAATAACTTCCCTTTGAGTAAAATGTGTGGTTTAGAAATGGCAGCCCAGTGCTCATTCTCAGGCAAGCAGTGATTCAGTAGACTTTAATCGGAACAATCAGTGTCTTTGAAAGCATACTTAATGACAATATTTACATGATGTTCTAACATGAAGAACGAGTTCTGTGAATCCAGCTACTTTGGATTTTTTGGTTTTATAGTCTTCAGATAGACAGTGTAACCTTGGAGAAGGCACAGGGGTTCCTTTTTCGTATCACTCTTCATGAAACTGCTGGAAAGTGCTTTGAGAGTCCGTGGAGTTAATGTTTTGGATACACTGAGTCTTCTTGCAGTTTTACAGATGTGATGTTCAGTTGAAGCTTCAAATATATTGTTTATATTACAAGCACATTTACACTATTGAGAATGTAGTTTGCTGTTTATTTCTTTCACTTTTCTCAGCTGGCAGTTTTATTGGTGTTTCTTAATTAGTTATTATTTCTTTTAAAATTTTGTGTGTCAGCATGTGCTGCAGTGTTTAGGTACATCAGTACAACACTGACATTTTGCTTTTATTTCTTAAAATCACATCATCTGGAGATAATATAGTTTATTTTAGAAAAATCTTGGACAAATTTGTGCTTTGTGTAATTGAGGGGTAATTTTTTTTGTATGTGTGTGTCTGACAACTCCTCTTACTCAAAGTTTTCCCATACACTGTAAAACGTACATTTCTTTATATTTACACAGTGGTCTTTTGTTCTGCAGGGAGAGTATAACTCTCGTCCCACTCTCTTCCGATCTGCTACTTTAAAATGGAAGGAGGCTCTGCTGAGCAGAAAAAGGCCGTTTGTGGGACGATGTTGCTATGTATGCACTCCCCAGAGCCGGGTAAGGAGATTATAGACTGGATTATGTTTGACAATAATGCATAGTTGCAGCATAATGAAGTTGCAGTAGTTTCCTTACTTTCAGAATTAAGGTCACAGTGTTTTTACTTCGTAAAGTTTTTCACTATTGTTTGTGGTTATATTTTCTTTGTCATGGAATTAACGGATGACACAGACTTACTCTGATGCTTAGTCTCCCACCTTTCAGTGTGGATTTACTCCTTGCACAAAACTCTCCAGCTCCACAGAATTATCTCTAGGAAATGGTATAGCAAAATTAAGTTAATAACGGGAATTTGGTGCACATGGAAGTGTTAAAACTTGCTTTTAGGGCACTTTATTTCTCTATCCACAGAATAAATGCTGTTTCAAAACTAAGCAGTATGGCTCCCTTCAAACTTGGTCAATCCTGTTCAAGAGAGGACAAGTCAGTTTTCTGCACCTGGCTGATTCCTTGCTCCTCTGCCCAGCCTGGAAACAAGGAGTGCCAGTTGCAATAGTGGGGATATTTGTCTGCTGGGAACAGTGTCAAGATGGTGGCTCTAGAGGGGTTGCGCAAGCTGATTTAAAATGTGAACTTCATTGAACTGCAGTGGGCAGGCTTTCTGTAAGCTGAAGATGCAAAATGCTGATAAATGGTGTAATATAGTTTGCAGTCAGTTCATCCTGTAATTTTACAGTGTGTACACCCCGGGCTTTAAATTGCATTGTTCCACCAGCAATGAGCTCCGTCACTGGCTGCACTAAAGTGAAAATTTGCTTGTCTCTTTGACCAAGGAAAAGTTATTATTTCACTCAGTTCCTCTGCCAGAGCAGAACATTCCAGCAATGATACACAAATGTGGTGTAGAAATCCAAATGTACTGTGAAGGCTACGTATGGTTTGGGCAACAAGACAAGGAATTAGATAAACTGAGACAACTTCTAACAGACAAGTCAGGTGCTTTGGCTTGTGGAAAGGTGTGTATGAATCCTCAGCTTAGGGCTTTATACATTTAGTAACTAGACTGTTAGTAATTAGGCTGTTCGTCTCAAGCTGGGAATTATGCTTTAAAAATAAAAATCTTGTTCTGTATTTTGTTGCTGATTTTTTGGGGGAGACCAAGAACAAGTCACTTTTCTTTGCTGGAACATTTCATCAGCTTTTAAGATGCACAAAAAATCGCCAGTGAATAGTCAAAGAAATTAGTATTACCTTGAAGTTTCCTCCTAAGAGCTTAAAGCAACAATTGTTTGATTGAATGTACAGCACAGTTATGCTTTAGCATAACTGTTATCCCATAGTTATCCCATTGCAGAATTGATGGTGAGGCAGTTCTGCAGCTCTGCTGCTAACCATCTTTCTCCTTCACTGTCCTGTTTTTGTCTTCTTTGACATGCACAGTTCAGTAGTTTCAGCTGTCATTCACTGCTGGCAGGGTACCAATTTTATAATTGCATATTATCTGGATAGAAAGAAATTAGCCTCTTGGTCAAGGTATTTCCTTGGAATATGGAAGATTAAAGTTTAGGTCTTCCTGCCAAGGAATATTTGTTTATCCAAAGTGGAACTACTCCTAAACTCTCCCTAGTTAATAGCTTGAAATGTGGAGCCTGTAACAAGGATCTAGAAGGCTGAATTGAGTTTGTTGTTCAGGCAGAGCAGGAATGTGGAGATTTGCCACCAAACCATGGATGGATATCCTGACCCTTGGGCTGTTGTTACAGGATGCCTGATCTGCTGGCAAACCGGGTGTCACAGGCTGGGCGTCAACTGCTTGTGGTTATACTAATGCTGAATGCAGCATTAATGAAGTTCTGACTAAAGATGAGTTCTGTATTATGACAAGTCCTGGTTTATGTTGCATCAGAATACAATGAAATATTGTGGCTTGAAGGATACAGCCAATACAACCACACAGTAAAGCCTAGGGAATACTTAGAAAGTATTAGGGTTTGGAATAGAAACTTGAATTTCATTTTCCTTTTTGAACAGTTTGTGTGTACTGTATAAGCAGGTTCAGCGCTTCTGTGGTTTGGGTTTTTTTTTTATAGTACAAATGGAAAACATTGCATTATCTTAAATGTTATGATGAGTGTAACAGACACAGCTATTCTTATGTAATGAAATAATTCACCAATCTTTTCTTTTCTTGGTTTTACAGGATAACTTCTTCAATTCTAGTATTCCTTCTTTGGGTCTACGTAATGTTATATATATCAATGAAACACACACAAGGTAATGTAGCAAGTCTTTCTATGGCTTTTAAAATTCAGTGTGTTCTGATTTTATGACAGAGAAATCTCTAGGGTAGTCCAGGCTGAGTGAATATATATTATGGTCCTAAAATGCAGGAAGTGGTGCTGCCTTCAGGAGAGTAATGTACTTGTTAAATCTGGCTGTGTATATTTTTTGGGACCTGAGCAAAGTCCTTTGGGTTTATAGACAAGGAGCGTTAGCGTCAAACTTGTTTCACAAAAACCAGGGCACCTCTAGTTCCTTTAGTGCAAATGGCAACATCTGTGGCATAATGCTGAGAAAAGCTGATTTATTTCCATGTGTGGAATGACTTCAGGCTTCATTTTAATTTACTGAGCAGATCTGGCTCACAGTTTAGGCACTGACTGTTATCAGTAATGGCAATTAAATCTGAATATGTCTTGAGATACTTGTTCTGCCTCAGTGGCAGAGTGCAGCTCCTGAAAAATGGTGTATACAGCCTAAAAATGATGATCTGTCTTTGCACTAGTGCAGGCATATCTTGAGTGGTGGGACAAAGATACTGGAATTAAGCACAAATATTCTGTTCTTTGGAAAGTTAATAATGTTTGCTAAGTGTTTTTTACAATAATCATTAGCATAAGCAGGTTCTACAGTGTTTGCCATGGAGTCAGAGCAAACAAAGAGAGGCCAGCAGCCTAAAAGAAATGAGCCAAAGTGTCTGAGTGGAAGAAAGGCAGTATTGTGCTGTGCTTGAGAAGGAGGAAGCTAATGTTAGAAGCTGTTCTTTATTACACTTGAATTAATTATGGTGTTTTTTTTAAGAGTTGAGTTTGTAGTTTAGGATACAGAGAAATGACAGAAATAGTGTTTAATTTTAACTGGGTTTTTTAAAAATTAGTTTCAGAAGTCTAATGTTTGAATTGTTTTGAATGGTCAAAGTTACTTAAATTGGAAATAAAAGGGCAGAAAATATGGGTTAATGAATTAATCTGAAATAAATGAATGCCTTTAGCTCAGAACATCATTATGGTGTGAAAATCGACAGTTTTAATGAAGTTCTGCAGTCCCATGGGGTTACAAAGTCACAGTTTCCTGGCCTTAGAAAGCAAGAGGGTTCTCTTTAACTGCTGGAGTACTGTAACTGTATTGAGATGTTATCAGAGCTTTTGGCTGAGGTATGACTGTCAGTTTTTAATGTATCTTGACTGAGTCCGTTCTGTGTCGTTTTTGTCTTTCCTCATTACTACATGATCAGCAAACAGATTTTTCTAATTAAACTATATCATGTCTAAGCTGTAAAATGAATGTAGAAGTCTTCACACCATGACAGATACCTGCAATAGCTGTACGCTGGTGTGATGATATGTTCATAATTACCAAAATCATTGTCAGAAAGAAGCATATCCTTATCTTTGCTTTGTAGAAAAATGAGTAAGGCTCTCAAACTCCAAAGAGAAGGGGAAAAGGAAAAAAGCAATTAAAACAGAGTTATCAGTCTGCTTCTCTGACAGCATGAACAGCAAAATTCTTTGTCCTTTGAGGCAATCTGTGAATATTTGTGCAACCATTACGTGTCACACTGGCTTGTGCGCTCATCTTAATTACAGTGCAAGTGGCCTGTGTGCTCAGGTAGTTTGGCCTTTTGCAGCGTAAAAGTTCCTTCTCATCTTTCCTAGCTGTTTATAACACATGTATAAATTTACTGAAATGTGGTAGGGAGGTTTAGCAGCCAAGATCAGTAACTCAGGTGATGACAAGCAGCGAGACCTTGGCAGCACTCCAGCATGGAAACCACCCACGGTTCAGTTTGGGACACTCGCTAGAAAATCAGCCATGCATTGCACCAGCAGACCTCAGGACAGGGGTTTTATGTAACATTCAGTTCTCTGGTCTCAGGAATGGCCAGAATTTATTTTTTTTTTTTGTCCAACTCTTAACTCTGCCTGATGGCATCAGCTCTGCTGTTCTGGGGTCCCAGCTGTTTGTTTTGTGGGGTGACCCGCACAAGTGATGGCTTGCCCAGTCCTAACCTGGTGGCTGAGGGGGGTGAGAAGGAAAATACTAGTGAATATTCACTGCTGGGGAATGGATTTTTAGCCCTTCCTGTATCACTTGCATCTTCTGTGATGTTTGATGTTCTAAGTAGCATTTTCTCAGGTGATTGCTGCTTATATGATCTAGATAGTAAAGGACAGCGTTAATTTGAAAAGAAGAGACTGTCTGCATAAGAGAAATTGCCTTAAACACTTGAATTTGTAGAGATTTACTGATTTTTCAGTGGTTCTTCTCCTGCTAAAACTTTGCAAGGAGAAGGTGTATAGGAGGCAAATAAAACTGGGTGTTTGAAACCACTGGGAGGGAAGAAAAAGTTACTAAAAAAGTGTTTTTAGTTTTGGTAGCTACAGTTTGCATTAGCCATTTTCAAAAGTTTCTGAGAGAGTTTACCCTGTGCTTACGTGAGCAACTTTCCCAAGAGAACCCAATGTTCCTTCAAGAAGTTGACAAACCTCTTAGCTGGGCATTTGCTTTCCTCAGTGGAAAGTCAACAAATTGGAAGTCACGACTACCTCTTCTCTTGACCTCGTTGAGCTGGGGGAGTTGGTTCCAGCAGAGAGACAAAATGTATGTGCTGCTTTGTTTGCTACTTTCCTGTGATACCGTGGGTGTTTTAAGGCCAGTATCACCCTCCATTGAAGTGATGTAGACTCCAGTTGTCTCAGATATTTTGTGCTGTGTATGAGTTATTTCATCTATAACATGGGCATATTGGCAATTTACTAGAAGATAAAGGAAGCTCCTAGGCAGCCGTTCATAAAACTTCACTTAACTTTTGCTACTTAATTGTATTTTTAGGTATTTTTCATACTGGTTTTTTTTTTTGGCAGTCAAAGATTTTGATAATCAGACTGAAAAAACCTTTTTATTTTTGTAGGTACAGGGGGTGGCTTGCAAGACGGTTTTGTTATGTCCTTTTTGTGCAAGAGAGGGATGTTCATAAGGGTATGTTTGCCAAGAATCTGACAGAAAATGTGCTGAATAACAGCAGGTAAGAGAATGCATAATATTTTTTAAATTTCTAGCATGTTTGATATAAAAATTTGGAGACTGCAAGTTTTAGGAATCAGACTATTTAAAATACTAGAAAATACAGTGTCTTTAGCACAGCCTTTCAGGGCTGTAGCTTGCAATTTCTGTTTGAATAGTAAAAGAGGGGATTAAAGAAGTACAGGTCTCCAGATGAATGATGCCTAGTGGGGGAACACCAGCCAATACACAGAAAAATAAATTGCTACACAGGAGCTCTTCAAACTTTTGTTTATGTAATTCATGTAAAGCATTACCGCCAAAGTTATGCTGCAGTCATCAGAAAATGTCAGTGTTTCAACAATAACAGGAAAGCAGCATTTTGAAGTACCCTGAGTGTACACCTGGAGCACGAGGCAAAAGTAGAAAATGGCTATAGAGTGAAATTCCCACCCTTTACTTTGAGGAGCTTGTTTTCTGTTTCATAGATCACATTTTAAATGGCATGTTGAGCCCCTCATTAGCTATTAAGGGATCAGTTTCCCCTGGACACAAAGAAATTCAACCGCATGCCCCCTCCTTGAGTCTACTTTTGTCAGAAGGCACACACTGCCTACATTAACATTACCAATTCTCCTAAATTTTTAATGTTTGAGTCCATCTGAAGATGACAGTGTTGCTTCTGAAAAGTAAAGCAGACTGTGTTGTACCATAGTTATAGTGTGTTGAGCCAGTTAATCTCACTTAGATTTGCTTCAAATGGGAAAAGTAGGCCTTATAAATTTTGTTACACTTTGTGAAACTGAGAATTCAAGGGGAACAGTACTGTAGAAGTTCAAATTAGCAACTGTATTAACCTGTCTAATGAGTAAGTGTAAGTGAAACTGTTATGACAGGAAAAATATTAAAACAAATGAGATTTCATCTACTCTCTCTGAATTTTTAACCTTATTAACCATTTCTGAAAAGTGGCAGTCACTTAATATTAGTAACTGTGATCTGCATATATACTGTTTATATGGTCAACTTTGAGTGTATTCAGCCATCAACTGCATGGTAAATCAGAGCTTAGAAAACTATTGAATTAGACTGGATGCATGTGGAGTACACAACACTTCAGCGTAGTTGTTTTTTTATGTTTGCAAGTTACTCCTGTAGTGATGCGTAGCTCATTCCCAGCAGTTGTTGTGTGTGTCTTGGACTCTTCTGTCTCATACATTTTATTTTTTAATGTTAAGAGTCCAGAAGGCCATAGTAGATGAAGCTTCTGAACCAAGTGCTCCAGGTAGTTTTGCTCAAACGGATCCTAAAGCTATCAACAAAGTGAAGAAGAAAGCTAGGAAAATTCTCCAAGAAATGGTAGCAAATGTGTCACCTGCTTTAATCAGGTAAGAAAAATGTCTCATTGGTGTTGTAAGTGGGTGGAAGAATGGAAAAGCTCTTTATAATACCAACAGAGCTTGTAACACATAAGTAGTGAATAATTGTTCTAAAAATAATACATTATTTTTGCATATTTTTTAATATTAGCTTACAAAATAGTAGTTATTCTTCATTTTCAGATGCAGAAGAGACCCTCTGCCTTTCCAAGGGATAAATCTTTTAAGATGAAATACCAACTTTTATTTCCTCCCAAAACTAGGTTTGGTACTAATGCTTCTACCAATATTGGCATCATTTCAGTCTCATTCAGTTATCTACAGCACCCTGGACTGTGGAAGATCATTTTCCCAGTAGCCTATTGAATATTCTAATCTGTAGTTAGAAATACCTCAGAGAGAGTCTTATTTTAGATAAAATCTTCTGCTGTTGTATCTGCCTTTACAACTAAGCATGAATTTGTCTCTGTCATGTTCCTAGTTCATCAACGTCTGTTGCAAATTCTAGATTTTTTGGAACTATATTAACTTCTCCCAGATACGCTTAGTCACCTAACATGTCACCTAACTAACTGTAATAACTTAATTACAGTTGATCATAGGACCTTGGTGAACTTTCCCCACAGACAGTGGTCCTACCCTTTGAACAGCCTTCACTGAGGTTAACCCTGACAAGATCTGGGTCATAACTGCAGGAGGCTGAAATGTTTTACTAACCATAGGCAAAAACTTGTTTAGCAATTGGATTTTGCAGTATTTTTGTTTGAATGTAAAGTAATCAAGATTTTATGGCTTTGCCTTTAGTCATAGAGAAGCAAATTAAAAGAGAGGCAGCACTGAATGAAGCTTTTTGGGTTTTATTTGCTCTTCTTTTAGGTTGACTGGCTGGGTGTTACTGAAGTTGTTTAACAGCTTTTTCTGGAATATCCAGATCCACAGAGGTCAAATAGAAATGGTCAAAGCAGCAACAGAGGTAAGGAAAGGTGGGAAAAATCTAATAAGGTAGATTTCTGATGTAGTGTCTGTGAATATTTACAACACTTCTCTTTTTATGAGGGTTTTGCTAAGTCTGTATGAAATGAGATTGTAGATAGAACTGTCTTGTATCTGTGAAATAGTGTTCTTAAATATAATGCTCTTCGAGTTGTGTAACCTGAAATACTATGTGAATTCTGGTTTTACCTTTGCTTCAGGATCGAATTTTAGCTATCAGGCTGAATGGAACCTGCATCCAACACTGTTCTTTTTTTTTAAGCTGAGGCAGCCAATAATAAATCAGCAGATCTATTTAGGATTTTTCCTTTTACCTTGATTTGGAATGAAAGTCTTTAAGAAATAAATGCTTCCTATTTCTTACAAGCAGTACATTCCCAGTTCTTTGGTACTCATTAAAATTGGTCAAATGAACTCCTAAATTCTACCATTTTCCTTACACTCACATTGATTCTTTTTGAAGGATTTACCTTAGAAATATTGGTTAGATAAATGAAAAAAACAAACAAAAAAGCTCCCTATTATTTTCTGTTGTTTTTTGATTATAGTGTTTGGGAACCCCACTGTTCATAGATCCTTGCTAATATCTAATGGAAATACCAGTACTTTTGGTGACACTGAAGATTTTTCCACATTCCTTTAATTGTTTGATTATTGTCTGAAGAAATTGGGAGTATTAATTAGTGCTAATGTAATGCATGCAACTGAAAACTGCAGTCCATGTAAATTAAGTACGGTTGACTAAAAAATCCTCATTGTCACAGCTGAAGGAAAACCAGAAGTTAAAAAACTCAATGATGGTAACTGGAAAACACCATCAGTTCTGATAAGATGATGCTGGCAATCTCAGTGAAGGATTTTAGAAATGGAGTAATTTTCCATGTTTCTTACCAACTGTCTTCTCTCTTTTTTCCTTCTCTCCCCACCATAGATGAATTTGCCTCTTATCTTTTTGCCTGTTCACAAATCCCACATTGACTACCTGCTTCTTACGTTCATTCTTTTCTGCCACAACATCAAAGCACCCTACATTGCTGCAGGGAACAATCTCAACATCCCCATTTTCAGGTAATAACCTCTTCTTATTTGAAAAAGACTGAGATGGCGGGATCTGACCTGTTGTGCAATATGTCTTATGTCCAAGTGCAAGAATATCTAAGTGTAGCTGGACGATCATGTATAACAGAGAGAGAGCATGCCAACATCCTTCTGAGAAGCTCTCTCATAACCTAAGTAGGGTAAGGAAGGATATTCCTTCCTTCTACTAGTCTCAGAGTGGATAGGTGACTAGGAAAAGATGACTATGTGAATAAGTGTAGTGAATGGACAACACTTCTTCATGAAATTTAGCGAGCTGGCTAATGGGCAGCAACGCTACTGGGTGAATAATACTTTGTGGGAAAGTATTCCACTTTAGTCTGTGTATAAATTATTTTTCTCGTGGCTGAAGAACCTAAGGTCTTTTACATAATATTTGACCATAACTGATTTCTAAGTGATGAGGAAAAAAGGAGGATACCTTGACTTCAAGAGTATTTGCACCAGTAGGTGCTGGTCTGTAATAATCACCGTGAGAAAGGCATTCAGGCTCTATAAACTATCAATTAAAATGCTATCTATTAGGGCCAGCAGAATAAGGAAAGAGAGATTAGCATAGATAATCCAGCATCCCTTTAGGCACTGGGAACCCTGTGTTCTGCAGCATTCAACAGGCCTCTGATCCACACCCAGCTTGTGGGCCCTGTCTGCAGAAAGGGTTACCCCGTTTTGGTCCTTTGAGCTGGTGTAGGATTTGCTTGCAAGAAAACAACTCTATTCATCATTCCTTCTGCCAAGCAGAAAGGATGTTCTCGTGAGAGCTTCTTGCTCCACTGTGAGATAAAGGCAAGACCGTGCAGGTGGTGTAATTGCTGGTGCCAAGTGGGAGCTGCCCGCAGATTGCTCTGTTAAAATGAGCTGGCTGAGCTGATCCTGCAGCCGAGGGGTATGTGCAGCGTGGGCATGAAGATGCTGTTTGTGCAGCACAGCACAGCCTCAGGACAGCTCAGGTTAAGTGTTAGGTGGATCACCAGCATCTCAGTGTACAAGTCTCCCAGAAAGTGGTCTGTCAGGGGAGTGAAATGGAGCAAGACAGGATGGAGAAATCTGTTTCATAAGTTAAATGGAGAAATATTTGTGTGGTCCTCTCATGTGCAAGTAGTATAGTACAGTTCAGTCTTTGGGAATTTCAGTTATTTCCGTTCCTGTTGTGTGCTAGGAGTTTTGTGCTGGATGTGTAGTAGCTTCCTGCAACTAAGTTCAATGAGTATATTCCTTCTTTATTCTGCAGCACGTTGATCCGCAAGCTAGGAGGGTTTTTCATTCGTCGGAAGTTGGATCAGAGTCCTGATGGTCGTAAGGACTTCCTCTACAGAGCTTTGCTCTATGTGGTATGTATTTCTTGTTGTTGTTTCAGTAGGTAGCGTTTCAGTTGGGTGCAAGTGGGAGAGTAAGTTCCATCTGTCTGGGGATCTGTTTTCCTGCTTTGAATTTGTCTTCAGTTTCATGCTGCAAAAAGGGGATTAATTTTTGTATGAGTTCTCGAATTTATAGAATTAAAGAAAATTGAATGCTCAGCCCCTTTGAGGATGAACAGATTTCCACCTTGCATAGTCGCTACTAAAGGATGTGGAATCAGTGCTCCCTGAATTAATGTTAGGCTTTGTTTCTCTGATGTCTTTTGTTCCAAGGCATATCTACACTAACTCTGATAACATAATGGAAGTCTCTGTTTATGATGGGTTGATGTAATCCTTTGTACCATTCAGTATAATAGCTGTATTTGCATCTTGGAAGATGGGATGTGCTGGGGAAACAGGAGAAGAGATGAATGCGAATTGACTAGATCAACTGTTGCTAGAGATGCTCTTTGAACAAAAGTCATTATACTGCTTGTATATTCATGCAAATTCAGTTGCAGATTCGTCTGGGTTTGTGTCAAGCATTAATTATTGCTTTTTTTTTTTTCACAAGTGTTTGTGCCAGCTCATGGTCTTCTGTGCTTTTAAAAGGAAATAGTTGCTGACAGTATATTTCAAATGTGAATTGGCTAATATAATTAGATATTTAATTTTTTTTTCTTTTCCAATCTTTTTGTATTCAGCACATAGAAGAACTGCTGAGACAGCAGCAGTTTTTAGAAATATTCTTGGAAGGCACACGGTCTCGAAGTGGAAAGACATCTGGAGCTAAAGCAGGTCTTTTATCTGTGGTAGTGGATGCTCTCTTCTCAAATGCTACTCCTGATGTCCTAATTATACCTGTGGGAATCTCCTATGATCGCATAATTGAAGGTCACTATAACAGTGAACAGCTGGTAAGAGCAATTGAACAACTTGTTTTGCCTAGGGGATTTTCTGCTTATGTGCAGGAAAACGTGTTACAGAGTTAAATGATGTGCTAGTAGTCCTGTCACAGGTACTCGGGATTAGTGTTGGAGAGCAAAGAGCCATTCATCACAAAACCTCTCTGATAGGAAGTGCTGAGGGACAGGTGACATACTTCCACATGCAAATTCGTGACATAACAAATAATATGTTCCAGTGGATCTCTGTGGAGAAAAGTAGTTCTCTAACGTATAACTTTTAAGTTATAAGGTGTGTCAAAAGCTTCGGCCTTGCTTTGTCTGCTGCTGCATGCATTTTAATTTTCAACATAACCTTTTAATTGCATAGTGGAAGAAAACTCAAAACAGCCACCTCTGTTTTCTAGGGCAAGCCCAAGAAGAATGAAAGTCTTTGGAGTATAGCTAGAGGAGTCTTCAGAATGCTGCGGAAAAATTATGGTTGTGTCAGAGTAGATTTTGCACAACCATTTTCCTTAAAAGTAAGTTTGATTTCTTGAAAATCTGTTTGAAGGTTTGACATTTTTGACATTTCAATAATGGGACACATTTATTTTGATGTTTCTTTTGTGGGTTACCATCAGTAGCATTATCTGCTGAAGCCCATTCTGGTAGGACAAAGTACCCCCGTTTTGATGAATATGAGAGTCTTCAGACGCATTTGTGTTAAGCTGAAATAGTCTCAAAGCCGATGAAAAGGGTTAGTTTTGAAATGGTTTAAGTGTTCTTACTGGGGTTCTTTGTTTGTTTAACAAACAGTCTTTAAAATGATCCTTGTACCATGCAGTAATCCTTTATGTAGTAGAAACATTAGGAGTTGAAGGAAACTGAATACTCTTTTCCAGTTTAAGTAATTTAATGGCATATGCTATTACTGAAGAACGGCATTTGTCTCACTAGATATTTGAAATTGCTAAGTAAATTTGTAGCTATAAAAGTATTATGAATAGTATATTGTGTATATAGGTGTTTTGTAGCCTCTCAAGGAATATAGTGCTGTGGTAGTATCTGTCTTCACTCCTCAAATCTTCCCTGATCTCTACTGGTACTATACTTATCTGCATTTCACTAATCTGTATTCTGCCACAGTATGCCTTATTTTTAGTGTGGCTTTAATAAGATTAACTACTGCAACAGCAACCTACTAGAACATTATTCAAATTAATTAGGTGTTCTTTTTTCTGCCCTACTTCTCTCAGAAGAGCAGGAGGTTGGAGAGCTTTGGAGGGTTCAGTTACCACAGCATGAAATTATTGTGACCGTCTGCACTGCATTATAATTAGCGTAGTAAGGAAAGATACTAATGCACTTCAAGGAGGAGGTTTGGGCTATTCTTGGTAGGGAGTTAACAATTCTTCTTGGATCAGTGTAAGGAAAAGAAGGTTATCTGCCCTCTTAATCTAGAGAAATGCTAATCACTCTTTACCTTCCCAGCAACCTCTGTCAGGTCTCATTTGTATGTGTATTCCTCATTGTACCTCAGAGGGGAGATGAATGGCATAAATCATTTAAGTGTGCCTTAACTCAGATTTGCAGAAGTTTAACTGTAGTTATGTCACTGCAGGTTTTTCTAGAGCAGATGAGCTTTGGGGGTTAATTTTGGGCCTCTGCAGTTCTGTAAGCACAGGCTTGGAAGCGGGAGAGAGTGAGCTGGCTGTGAAAGTCTTTTAAGCAGCTTTCCTGGGAGGGAACTGTTTTCCTGAGCAGCAGGTTAAGTGGCTCTTTAGTTTCCCATTCTTTATAGAAACCGAAGGAACACAGAGTCCTAAAAACAGAGCAGTGTAAATGCTAACCTATAAGGAGAGGCTTTTGAGAATTTGGGGATTCAAGAATTCCAAGCATGCAGTGCCCTGCCTGCTTCCCGGGTGCTTAAGTTTATGACACTGTGAGGGGCCTTGCAACTGGAGTTTACCTATGGAGACGTTCTCCATCCTGGCATTTGAAGAAAGCAGCAGCAAGCAGTAATTACTCCATGTTGGTTCTGAATGGGTATTAGGCTTTGCTCTCACTCATGTTAATAAGGCAGTTCTCATTAATTTAATCGTGGAGAAGCTCGTCTCAAAGGAGTTGTTCCCAGCAGGGTGCTGACAGGGGTTATGTGTTGTTTTCATTGCAGTGTTTTGCATGAGGTACAGATTCCTTGATGTGGGAAGTTTGCTTTTGCATAAAATAAAGTCAGAAGTGAATAAGCTGTTGAAAACTTTTAATATCTCCAACCTTATTACTGCTTTTTTAGTGTGAACTATTTTTAATCACAGTTGCATTTTGAATAATTGCCTTTTTTCCTACAGTAATATCATCACTTGAATGCAAGAGTAAGGTGGAAAAAGTACAAAAAATAACAGTTTTTCTTTTAACAGGAATATGTAAACAGCCAAAGCCAAAAACCTGTGCCTGCTCCTCTTTCTTTGGAACAAGCTTTGTTACCAGCTATACTTCCATCAAGGTAGAGGGTTTTTTTTTTATATTTTTGAGAGGGAGGACAGGTTGGGATTGTTTGTTTGTTTGTCTTCCTAATGTTCTGCATTACATTCCAAGCTGTGCTTGAACTCCCTAAGGGTAATTTGTTTATAGAAAAATGAAAAGCTTAGACAATTATAACAGCAATTTGTTATAGAAGTTGCATTCTTTCTGATGAGCTCTGTTTAAATAAATTTGAGGAGGCTTTTTAAAAGGTTTTGGTTTTGTTTGTTTGTGAGATTTTTGTTTGGGTTTTGGTTGCTTTGGTTTGTTTGTTTTTATTTTAGTGACCTCTCCTGGTTTAATTATAAATTTTATAGAACAACTTGGGGAAAAAAATGATATGCTTAATGAAAAGTGAAGGATTTTGTTTTAAACCTCACCAAGATTGCACAAGGCTTTTGGAATAATGACAAAACAAATAGGATCTGGGAGTGAGTACCCCTTGCTCTCAAGGAGGTGACTGTCACTCAGAACTGCAAAACTGCTCAAGGGCTAGATCTGTATTTGTTACATAGATACAGAGGTCTCTGCTGTAATTGTACAAACCTGAGTGCTCCTGGTGGAGACAAAGTCAGTAATTTACCTTTAGAAAGTTGTAGGTCGATATAAAAGACCATTTCTAGTTTGTGGAGAGACTGGGCTCTATCCATCTTTTAGGTAGATTTGTTTATTCTGCTGTTGTCCGTATTCACTGAAGGGAAAAGAGCTGTGGGGTGCAATTGGTGTTACAGCAAAGTCATGAATAGCCATAGAACAAGGTTGCAATATTTCTTGTGGTGGTCTTATCTTAGATTGTTGTTTAGTGTGAAGAAATAATCTGTAGAAGTTGGTAGAGCTTTTCACAGGGGACATTTTTCTGCCCTTACCAGACTACAGTGGTGTTTTATGCTGTTTTTTGGTTAGTATATATATAAAAAAAATTCAGTCTAGGTTATTTTACGTTTTGATCAAAATATAAGTGTCATCATGTTAATTTTTATTCTTTATTTAGACCTAATGATACTGTGGATGAAAGTGCAGCGGCCTCGCTGCCCAACTCCAGGGATATCACCTGTGAACCCTTCAGAAGAGAGCTGATATCCAACTTGGCTGAGCATATTTTGTTCAGTAAGTGTTAAGAGTATTACTACCACAGAATCATAGAATGGTTTGGGTAGGAAAGGACCTTAAAGGTTTTACAGTTCAACCCCTCTGCCGTGGGCACGGACACCTTCCACTAGACCGGGTTACTCTCAACTGCCTGTTTTGTTTTGCTGACTGAGTGAATTTGCTGTTTGGTAATGTCATACTTCCTAATTCTCTCCATTCAGGTGATTGTTTCATGACTTCAAATGCTCTCTTGACAATTCTACACTCCTTGCCTTTTTCTCTCCTCTTCAGAATTTAATGAACTCTTTTTCTCATTTAGATTTCTGATTAAGCTTTTTGTTCTGTCTGTTTTGCTAACTTTTGTATTGCTTGGACTAGTATACTAAACTTGCTGTACTCTGAAGAGTTTGATAGTCCTACTGGTACACTGATTTCTTACCTCTTCATGTGAGAAGTTATTGGAGTGTCTGAATGGCACTATTTTAAGATGATACCCTCATGAACTCATCTAGCTGCATGGACCAGTGTTACCACGTTTTATAGGTTATGTGGTGTATACTTCAGTCAATAGACCTGTGATTTGTGGTATAAGAAATGCATACAAAATAGTACTTAGCTTGGCTTAGTTAATGTTTAAGCTTTATTCGACCTTCTTCAAGTTCATGTTACTTTGATTACTTAAATATTGTTACTATATAGACACAACATACTTTGTGTTTCATTCAGTAGGTACAGTTTGGTGCCAACATCACTATTAATATCACTGTTATTATTTTTTAAATAATAGGCACTCTTTCACTTTTGATGATGTTCTCAGTCTTTCAGGTGCTTAACAAGTTTATCTTGT